TACAGATGGCATGACAGCAGCTCCAGGATCACCAGACTTCAGGTCAGCTGACTTCAAGGAAACAACTTTCCAGGCCAATAGGAAGTCAGATCACACACAGTCACATGACGGCTGGGGTAGAGGCTTCAGTGAGAGGACCAAGATGGCCGCTGCTGGGGAAGCTGCTGCAGGAAGTGGCGGTTTGCTGTTTGTGCTACAAAGGAAGAGAATAAAGATGGGAATTATTAACCCCACCAGGACCAAGGCTAAAAGAAAATAAAGATTTTTCAGCAACTCAACAATTCATTCACTCAAAGAAATAGGTTTTTTTTGTAATCTTGCTGAGTTCGGGAACTTTTTTGGAGATGAAGTAGTAGAACTATACAGTCTTTACATCTGTCTGCAGATTTCAGGGGCCATATGGGAAAAGTGGTGTTGGTGGTGTGTGTGTGTGTGGGGGGGGGTGAGTAGCATAATTACCCTAAAGGACACTAGATGGCGCTACAATATAGGTAATTTTAAATCCCAACAGGCTGACACCTAACAGACACTGAACTTGTTCACTGCCGGAGATGTTTATTTATTTATTACAGGTACTTATATAGTACTGTCAATTTACACGTACACTATATTGCCAAAAGTATTGTCCCTGCCCCTCCCAATCATGTGATTCAGGTGTTCCAATCCCCTCCATGGACACAGGTGTATACAATCATCCCCTAGGCATGCAGATGGCTTCTACAAACATTGGTGAAAGGATGGGTCGCTCTCAGGAGCTCAGTGACTCCAAGCGTGGTCCCATGATAGGTGGCCACCTGGGCAATAAGTCCATCCGGGACATTTCCTGGCTACTAAATATTCCACGCTCAACTGTTAGTGGGATTATAACAAAGTGGAAGCAACTGGGAACAACAGCAACTCATCACCAAGTGGTAGGCCACGTCACATGACAGGGCGGGGTAAGCGCATGCTGAAGCGCACAGTGCGCAGAAGTCGCCAACTGTCTGCAGAGTCAATAGCTAAAGACCTCCAAACTTGGTGTGGCCTTCAGATGAGCCCAACAACAGTGCGTAGAGAGCTTCATGGAATGGGTTTCCATGGCCGAGCAGCTGCATCCAAGCCTTCCATCACCAAGTGCAATGCAAAGCGTCGGACTCTGGACTCTAGAGCATGGAGACGTGTTCTCTGGAGTGACCAATCACTCGTCTCTGTCTGGCAATCTGATGGACGTGTCTGGGTTTGGCAGCGGCCAGGAGAACGATACTTGCCTGACTGCATTGTTCCAAGTGTAAGGTTTGGTGGAGGGGGGATTATGGTGGGGAGTTGTTTTTCAGGGGCTTGGGCTTGGCCCCCTAGTTCCAGTGAAGGGAACTCTTAAGGTGACATTTTGGACAATTTCATGCTCCCAACTTTGTGTGAAGAGTTTGGGGATGGCCCCTTCTTGTTCCAACATGACTGCGCACCAGTGCACAAAGCAAGGTCCATAAAGACACGGAGGAGCCAGTTTGGGGTGGAGGAACTTGACTGGCCTGCACAGAGTCCTGACCTCAACCCCATAGAACACCTTTGGGATGAATTAGAGTGTGGAGACTGCGAGCCAGGCCTCCTCCCCCGACATCAATGCCTGACCTGACAAATGTGCTTCTGGAAGAATGGTCCAACCTTCCCATAGACACCCTCCTAAACCTTGTGGACGGCCTTCCCAGAAGAGTTGAAGCTGTTATAGCTGCAAAGGGCGGGGCCAACTCAATATTGAACCCTATGGACTATGACTGGGGGGCCATTAAAGGTCATGTGTGTGGAAAGGCAGGCCAACCAATACTTAGTACTTAATATAGTGTGTGTGTCTGCATATATACTGTATATTGTGTACTATCCCATCAGTCTCTAACCCTCAAGGGGTGTACAATCTAAGGTCCCCTAACTCACATTCCTACATACACATACTAGGACCAATGTAGACTGGATCCAATTAATCTACCAGCATATCTTTGGAGTGTGGGAGGAAACTGGAGTGCCTGGAGGAAACCCGCACAGGGAGAACATGCAAACTCCAGGCTGGTGGTGCCGTGGTTGGGATTCGAACCGACGACCTGAGTACTGCCAGGCTGAAGTGCTAACCATTTAGCCTTTATGTTGCCACACACATTTTAGGCTTGAAGATTATATATTTTCTGAAAGCAGACACCCCTGAGAATAAAATAGTGTAAGGCCCCTTTCACACGGGCGTTCCGTATGCCCGTCTTTCATCTGTCCGTTTACGAATGAAAAATGGACATCCATGTATTTCTATGGACTAGCAGATGTAAAAAGATGATTATCTGTTTACATCCGTTAACATCCATTTTTTTGAACGGAAGAAAACCCTATTGTTCTTCCGTTTAAAAAATATGGAACGAACAAAAAACAGATGTAAACGGATGAAAAACGGATGTAAACTGATCGGTTTTTGCTTGGAAAAAATGTGACTGAACTGATGAAAAAAATGGACCGCCTGTGTGAAAGGGGCCAAAGGGCTCGTTCACACTTGACTTTATTTCTAACTCTTCCCAAACGCCCCTATAGCGTCAGACAGGCGTTTGTGAAGCGTTTTAACACTCCTCAAATGCTCCCCAAACGCTCCCAAAATGCCCTATGCGCGGTTTTGAGGTGGTTGATAGGCGTTTGCCAAGCATTAAAACCGCACCACAAACTCCTATAATGAAGTTAAATGGTATTAACGCTCTGCAACTGCCTTGCAAACCTTAAAATGACACCACCTGTGAAAGGGTGACAAACGTTGTTACCCTAAACCAGGGGTGTCAAACTGGCGTCCCTCCAGCTGTTGCGAAACTACAAGTCCCATCATGCCTCTACCTTTGGGAGTAATGCTTGTAACTGACAATCTTGCAATGCCTCATGGGACTTATAACAGCTGGAGTGCCGCCAGTTTGACACCTGTGTCCTAAACAGTCCGATCTCTGTGTGGGGGGAGGAGGAGACTAAGGAAATGCTTCCACCTGCCCGCAGCATACAGATGATGTCATTTCATCCTACACCAAGTCACTGGCCTGGAGCGGACTGGCGGCTATAAAAGGTGAAGGTGTAAAATGATACATTTGCTGTATATTGCGGCATGGCAGGAATGTAGTCATGCACTTGTAAAGTTACCGAATGGTCCTCTTTAATGTCAGAATGACGTCCCAGGTAGATTTGTTTGAATGGAAATTTGCTGCCATGAGGCCAGGGTGTGGTTTTTGCATTCCAGACTTGTATTGTCTTTCATAAATAGCATTCGACTCGTATATTTATATAAGGGAGAAAGTAAGAATAGTCTTTTATGACCCAACAATGGGAAAGGATAGCAATAACATACAACAACCTGTAGTTATAGATTAATCACTTGTCTACCAGGCAATTTTTTTTTTACTTTTTTGTACATGTTAAAATCTGCATCGCTTGCTAGAAACTTCTGCAACTTTAATTATCTCTGCTGAAAGCAGAGAGCCTGGAGAATGAAATGGTGGCAGTTCTACCCCCTACCCACCTCTGAGCACCATCCCTTAGTTCCACCCCCTACCCACCTCTGAGCACCATCCATTAGTTCCACCCCCTACCCACCTCTGAGCACCATCCCTTAGTTCCACCCCCTACCCACCTCTGAGCACCATCCTTTAGTTCCACCACCTAGCCACCTCTGACCACCATCCCTTAGTTCCACCTCCTACCCACCTCTGAGCACTATCCCTTATTTTCCACCCCCTACCCACCTCTGAGCAAGCACCATCCCTTAGTTCCACCCTCTACCCAACTCTGAGCACCATCCTTTAGTTCCACCCCCTACCCACCTCTGAGCACCATCCCTTAGTTCCACCCCCTACCCACCTCTGAGCACCATCCCTTAGTTCCACCCCTTACCCACCTCTGAGGACCATCCCTTAGTTCCACCCCTTACTCACCTCTGAGCACCATCCTTTAGTTCCACCCCTTACCCACCTCTGAGCACCATCCCTTAGTTCCACCCCCTACCCACCTCTGAGCACCATCCCTTAGTTCCACCCCTTACCCACCTCTGAGCACCATCCCTTAGTTCCACCCCTTACTCACCTCTGAGCACCATCCCTTAGTTCCACCCCTTACCCACCTCTGAGCACCATCCCTTAGTTCCACCCCCTACCCACCTCTGAGCACCATCCCTTAGTTCCACCCCTTACCCACCTCTGAGCACCATCCCTTAGTTCCACCCCTTACTCACCTCTGAGCACCATCCCTTAGTTCCACCTCTGAGCACCGTCCCTTAGTTCCACCTCTGAGCACCATCCCTTAGTTCCACCCCCTACCACCCCTTACCCACCTCTGAGCACCGTCCCTTAGCTCCAACCTGTACCCACCGTCTACCAGGCTCCAACTGAAACTAAGGCATTCATTCTTAGTGGACTGACCCGTTCATTGAACTGCACGGTCTCAAAGATCTGTGGCCATTGGAAGCCACATAGTAAACGTTGTCTATGAAAGCACTTAATATTGGCCTCTGGACAGATCCAATTCCAAAGCTCATAGAGAGCCAACCAGTCAGCTACAGTGTAATGATAATTTCCCGAAGTCTCCATCTCTCTTCTAAGAAGGAACCGCAAAAACATTTCCTGTTAATTATCATTCACAAGAATGGCCTGCCTTTATGATTGCAAATTAAAGTATCTTTTCAGCTGTTCCTTCCTTTGTTTACTATCTAGACGGGAAGCAGGGTCAGGGATGGAATGAGAAGGCACACTTCTTAACAAACAACCCGTCATGAAGTGATCATTAACCCCCAGCTTGATGGATGCCCAAGACATTAGCAAAGGGCAGTTCTATCTTTTTTAAATCATACCAATTCATTCCAATTAAAAGTAGGGTGACCAGATGTCCTGAACAAAGTTATAAGGTCTATGCCAAGCCTTTGTAGGCTATGTGTGAGCTCCTCAAATAACTAACATAGCCAGCCAGGCATGTAAGTGTGAAATCTCTATGCACCATGTGGAGTGTTCCTATGGTAAATGATA